ATCACTTCGCCCTCGGCGAATAATTGTAAAGTATATCATCAAGAAGGAAAATGTGGAACGTTCTAGAGGTCTTTAATTGTGTTCCGTTGAATCCCAGCAAATATCTCCCTGGTTTGTAAAGCTCAGTAAAGTTCAGTAAAGCTGGCATAATGCGCTAACTACAAGCTATAAGGCGTCTGACATTTTCTGACTAAAAATCGCTCATTCGATGAATCACCGTCGCCATCTTGGACRTGCGCATTCATCTAGGGGACTGGTTACTAATCTATATTTCTCGAAGGGAGCTGTAGAAGGTAGTTTTGAAAGCCTCCCAGAATGCTGTATGTTTGTCCGGTCGCCTCGATTCGACGTTTCCCGCGAAGTACGAAGAAGCAGTTCTGTGTTGATACCAATTTTGGCATATATATTTGATGATATTTTCGGACTTTAGGTGAATTTAAATTTCATATAGACCCAGGAATTAAGAAGATTCACTTGGCTTTAATACAGGATATCTGTGTTCTGTCATATATTTATTAATAAAAGCAGTGATTTTTTATCTTATAAATTTAATGACATCAATTGCCTTCCTTCTATCTAAACTAATAATTTTTAAAGCATTGTATTTTATTGCTGCATAATTTATCTATAATGAACATGACTATCAACTAGAGTCCGTAGAACAATGAAGCATCTTACAGCAGTTTCTTCATGATGACAACCACCATCATTAAAGCAGAATGTGTGAAGAATGGCTTCACTTGAATATCCCCTGAAACTTGGTAAAAATAAAATATATGTTAAAGTGACGTATGACACAATAATTTCTGATTCTCTGTGAGCTGATTCTATATAAAGTAAATAATTGAATGGTGAAATATGCCTGCATTTCAGTGTTGCGTCTTTGAGTTATGAAGTTCAATCTTACAATATGTTAATGAAAGTGACGTCAAAGACGGCTTTTTTAGATATACGTACTTTAAAGGAGTCGCTTAAGGTAGGAAATAACCATATTCCCAGGTGACGTTCATGAAAACATTTTTTGAAACACTGTTTCAAAGTTCGTATATCTAATGAAGCCTTCTCTGACGTCACTTTCATTAAAAAATTGTAAAATTGAACCTACAAAAACTCAAAGACGCRACACTGAAATGCAGGAATATTTCACTTTCAATTATATACTTTATATAGAATCTTAGTTCACAGAAAATCATCATTTATTGTATCAGGCGTCATAGGCACTTAAAGAATAAAAAACATATTGCAAGAAGTAACTTATCCCTATTTGATATATAAAAACGAGAAGTTACCTGCATGGGACAGCGTATTGGAGCGATGGTCACCATTCATCTCAAAGTGAGCTTCGAAGCCGTTGTGTACGGTTTGTGCGTTATTATCACTCACGAAAAACACAGCCATCTCATTTGATAAGGAAAAGATCGGCTTTTCTGGAATGGTACTACCACAGAACCGATCAAGTAACTCACCGTTCCACCCCGCCGGCTGCCAATCTCTTATTTCCACATAGTCGTTGAGGCAGTAGTTGTCATTTTCTAGCTCAAAAGCTTTAAAGGTGAGTTTGACGCGAAATCCATTGGGAACAATGAGGCGCCACATTATACACTGATCTGGAATGTATTTTAATGGGTACTTGGAGCTGGAAATGCTTCCGCTTGTTTCGTTGATGATGCTTTTGGAATTCTGACAAGAACTAGATCTAGCCATTTCGTTCACTACCGTTATTTTTCCTTTGAAACCTTTGAATTCTGAAAAAGGATCTGAATGAAATCGTAGCCAAAATTCCTTTCCATTTGCCCATGAATAGATGCGTATTTTGCTGTAGCTACTTTCCATTAGAGTGGCAATGGNACCGTCGCCATCTTGGACGTGCGCATTCATCTAGGGGACTGGTAACTAATCTATATTTCTCGAAGGGGGCTGTAGAAGGTAGTTTTGAAAGCCTCCCAGAATGCCGTATGTTTGTCCGGTCGCCTCGATTCGACGTTTCCCGCGAAGTACGAAGAAGCAGATTTGTGTTGATACCAATTTTGGCATATATATTTGATGGTATTTTCGGACTTTTGGTGAATTTAAATTTCATATAGATCCCAGGAACTAAGAAGATTCTCTTGCCTTTAATACAGGATATCTGTGTTCTGTCATATATTTATTAATAAAAGCAGTGATTTCTTATCTTATAAATTTAATGACATCAATTGTCTTCCTTCTATCTAAACTAATAATTTTTAAAGCATTGTATTTTATTGCTGCATAATATATCTATAATTAACATGAATCCGTAGAACACTAAAAACATCTCACAAGAGTTTCTTCATGATGACAACCACCATCATTAAAGCAGAATGTGTGAAGAATGGCTTCACTTGAATATCCCCTGAAACTTGGTAAAAATAAAAGAAATGTTAAACTGACGCATGACACAATAATTTTTGATTCTCTCTAAGCTGATTCTATATAAAGTAAATAATTGAATGGTGAAGTATGCCTGCATTTCAGTGTTGCGTCTTTGAGTTATGAAGTTCAATCTTACAATATGTTAATGAAAGTGACGTCAAAGACGGCTTTTTTAGATATACGTACTTTAAAGGAGTCGCTTAAGGTAGGGAATAACCATATTCCCAGGCACGTTCATGAAAATATTTTTTGAAACACTGTTTCAAAGTTCGTATATCTAATGAAGCCTTCTCTGACGTCACTTTCATTAAAAAATTGTAAAATTGAACATACAAAAACTCAAAGACGCAACACTGAAATGCAGGAATATTTCACTTTCAATTATATACTTTATATAGAATCTTAGTTCACAGAAAATCATCATTTATTGTATCAGGCGTCATAGGCACTTAAAGAATAAAAAACATATTGCAAGAAGTAACTTATCTTTATTTGATATATACAAACGAGAAGTTACCTGCATGGGACAGCGTATTGGAGCGATGGTCACCATTCATCTCAAAGTGCGCTTCGAAGCCSTTGTGYACGGTTTGTGCGTTATMATCACTCACGAAAAACACAGCCATCTCATTGGACAAGGAAAAGATCGGCTTTTCTGGAATGGTACTACCACAGAACCGACCAAGTAACTCACCGTTCCACCCCGCGGGCTGCCAATCTCTTATTTCCACATAGTCGTTGAGGCAGTAGTTGTCATTCTCCAGCTCAAAAGCCTTAAAGGCGAGTTTGACGCGAAATCCATTGGGAACAATGAGGCGCCACATTATGCACTGACCTGGAATGTATTTTGATGGGTACTTGGGGCTGGAAATGCTTCCGCTTGTTTCGTTGATGATGTTTTTGGTATTCCAACAACGTGAACTAGATGCTTTTGTGTTTACTACTGTTATTTTTCCTTTGAAACCTTTGAATTCTGAAAAAGGATCTGAATGAAATCGTAGCCAAAATTCCTTTTGATTTGAACTTATTCGATCGGAATAGATGCGAATTTTGCTTGAGCCACTTTTCTTTAGAGTGGCAATGGTATTTTTGGAGTACAATGAGCATTTTTTGTAATAGTAATAGGTCTGAGAGGTTTTGGGTAAATCACTTTCCCTATAAGAATACGCCAACCAATCACAACCACAGTACGTACAAGGCTCTATTTCCATGACGTCGAACACCAGCATCATCTGATAACTGTTGTGTACATTTTTCAAATATTGAGGGAAAAATACTTTCCAAGTACAAGTTTGGTTGGGCTGGTAATTGTTTGGAAAACCTGGACTTTGGATCTCGTACTTCCAGCCAGTTTCGAGAGTAGCATCTACATTAAGAGCATCCTTTGCACAAGCTGAAAGAAGCAAATCTCATATTATCCAAAACTGAAGCATTTTATTGCAATACATACTTCGATATCGATATCACTGAACTAAACAGCGCTAAT